AACCGGACACCAGTGGGCTTGTCCCGGGCATCCATGTAACCGGAGGTCCCAGACCTCTCCGCCGAGGGTTCCAGCGCGTGGTCCGATGGACCCTCGGGTCAAGCCCGAGGGTGACAGCAGCAGAAAGCCCGCTCTTGACGTCGCTCCGCAATCCCTCTCCCTGGTTGGAGAAAACCGCCTACGCGAGACGGCAACTGGGTGCGAGAGGCATGCGGGCAATGCAGGTGCGCTTCGTTGCAGTCTCAGTCTTCCGGACAGCGGCTGCCGGGAATCGGATAGCCGTTGCGGTCCATCAAGCATCCATCCGAACACACGACGACATAGGGTCCCTGCTTCGCCGGAACAGGGCTGTCGGGATCGCCCTTGTAGAAGCGGACGCTGTTGCCGCTGTTCTCCGGGTCTTCCCAGCACCACCCGTCGCCGCCGCGCAATGCGCGACCGCGCCAGGTTTCCGGTATCTGCGCAGGTCGGGACCTGCCGGTCCAGGGTTCGTCCATGCCGTTCAAAACCGTCCCTGCCAGCTCACCGCCGGCCGAAGAGCTTCTCGATGTCGGCCAGCTTCAGCTCCACATAGGTGGGCCGGCCGTGGTTGCACTGGCCGGAGTGGGGCGTCTCTTCCATCTGGCGCAGCAGGGCGTTCATCTCCTCGACGTTGAGGATACGCCCGGCGCGCACCGAACCGTGGCAGGCCAGAGTGCCGCAGACATGCTCCAGCCGGTCGCGCAGCGCCAGCGCTTCGCCCAGTTCCGCCAGTTCATCGGCAAGGTCGCGGATCAGGCCCGGCACGTCGACGGTGCCGAGCAGCGCCGGCACCTCCCGCACCACCACGGCGCCGAGGCCGAAGGCCTCCAGCACCAGACCCAGGTCCGCCAGTTCTTCCGCGCGGGCGACGACGCGGGCAGCGGCGGTTTCCTCCAGCTCCACCACCTCCGGCAGCAGCAGCATCTGTCGGGCCACGCCCGTCTCGCCGAGCTGTTCCTTCATGCGCTCGTAGACCAGACGCTCGTGGGCGGCGTGCTGATCGACGATGACGATGCCGTCGCCGGTCTGCGCCACGACATAGGTGCCGTGCACCTGGGCGCGGGCGGCGCCGAGGGGGAAGCCGTCCCCCGCCGCTTCCGCCTCTGCTTCGGCGTGGACGTTGGGGGCTGCCGCGGCGGGCGCCTGGGCAAGGCCCGGGAGAGTCCCATGCGACACCGCCGGCTGGCCCAAAGGCGCCTGGTAATGCGCGGTGGCTTCGGCGAGGCCCCTTGGCAGACGCGTTCCCTGCGGCTGTCCCCAAGGTAGGCCCCCACCCGCCCCGCTGCCCATCCCACTGCCCATCCCACTGCCGGGGCGCAGCACGCCGAGCGCAAGGTCGGAGACTGTGGTGGCGGCGCGGTGCCCGGCCTCGGCCAGGGCATGCTTGGCGGCGGAAACGATGAGCCCGCGCACTAGGCCGGGATCGCGGAAGCGCACCTCCGCCTTCGTCGGATGCACGTTCACGTCCACCTGCTCCGGTGGCAGGGTGACGAAGAGGGCCACCAAGGGATGGCGGTCGCGGGCGAGGAAATCCTGATAGGCCCCGCGCACCGCGCCATAGAGCAGCTTGTCGCGCACGGGCCGGCCGTTGACGAAGAGATACTGCTGCTGGGCGTTGCCGCGGTTCAAGGTCGGCAGGCCGATGTAGCCGGTGAGGCCGATCCCCTCCCGCTCGGCGGAGATCGGCAGGGCGTTGTCGGCGAAGTCGCGCCCCATGACGGCGGCGAGTCGCTTCAGGCGGGCGTCGAAGAGCGCCCCCTCCGCCGGGGCCAGGGAGATCAGCTTGCGGTCCCCGTCGCTCAGCGTGAAACCCACCTCCGGATGGGCCATGGCGAGGCGGTTCAGCGTGTCCTGTGCATGGGAGACCTCGGTGCGCGCGGTCTTCAGGAACTTGAGCCGCGCCGGGGTGGCGAAGAAGAGGTCGCGCACCTCCACCCGCGTGCCCTTGGGATGGGCGGCCGGCTGCGGCGCCCCCACCCGGCCGCCTTCGACGGAGAGGGTCCAGGCCTCTTCGGCACTGGGCGGGCGGCTGGTGACGCCGAGCCGGGCCACGGCGCCGATGGAGGGCAGCGCCTCGCCGCGGAACCCGAGGGAGGCGATGTGCACGAGGTCGTCGTCCGGCAGCTTGGAGGTGGCATGACGCTCCACCGCCAGCAGCATCTCCTCCGGCGTCATGCCGCAACCGTCGTCGGTGACGGCGATCAGCGCCCGCCCGCCGTCGCGCAGCACCACGTCGATATGGCGCGCCCCGGCATCGAGGGCATTTTCCACCAGTTCCTTCACCGCAGCGGCCGGCCGCTCCACCACCTCGCCGGCGGCGATCTGGTTCACCAGGGTTTCGGGCAGACGGCGGATGGGCATGGGAGGCGGTCTCCGTTTTAGTGAACAAAGCCTAGCAGGGAGGGCGGAGTCGCGGAAAGTGGGTGCCTACCAGCGCCGCAGCTTCACGATGACATCCGCGATGCCGCGGGCCCCGAACAAGCAGAGCAGCCCGAAGCCGCTTGCAAGGACCGACGTCAGGATCGACGAAAGCAGACCCGTGCGGTCGCGGATGGCCCCGCCGCCACCGTCCTCGAAAAGCAGGGAGAGTTGCCCCAACAGCGTCGGCAGATGATGTATCAGCACCCAGGCGCCAAGGACGACCAGCGCCAATGTGAGAACATGCTGCCGCGTCCAGAAGGGTGCCGCCTCCTCACGCGGCGGCGCGCGCCCGGGCGCAACCCGTTCGGCAATTCGTCCCGCGCCGAACCATAGAGCAAGGAAAACGACGAGATTGACCGTCAGCGACGTCCCGAAAGATAGGACGAACTGGTCAAATCCTGACATCGCGACTGTTAGCGTGTGCGCAAAGGTCAGCAGAGCCGCATAGAGGGCATAGAGCGCCAGCAGGCGGCAACCGACGAAGGCGAGATCTCTTGCGCTGATCATTTCAGAACATCACCCCAGAATGAAATTCAAAGCGGGTCGCTCGACTTAGAAGCGAAGGCCCCGAGCCTACGATATCCTGAGATCGACGGACAGTAGGCGCGCGGCTCGGCCGCCTGATGGCGAAGCGAAGATTGACGCGGATCAAGGCGTCCAAGGGGGCTGCGCGGTGAAATCGGCACCAACCAAGCCAATCCCCTGACACGAGGTTACGATGGTCGAGCAATCCCATACCGCCGGCTGGTGGCCGCGGCTCTACGAACCCTTCCAGACCCTCGGCCAGAAGGTGGCCGACTGGTTCGCCCCGCGCTCCGACGCGTCGACCCTGGAGGACGCCTACGAAATCAACGTCGAACTGCCCGGCGTCAATCCCGATGACGTCGACGTCTCGATCCACAACAACAGCCTGATCGTTCGCGGCGAGAAGCGCCATACGCGCCAGGAGAAGGGTCGCACCTTCTTCTTCTCCGAGCGCGAGTACGGCCTGTTCCAGCGCTCCTTCCGGCTGCCGCCGGATGCCGACGCCGACAGTATCGATGCCAGTTTCAGCGACGGCGTGCTCTGCCTCAAGATCGCCAAGCAGGAACCCTCCAAACCCGCCGGCAAGAAGATCGAGGTGCGCCGCAGCTAGCGACGCCGGCTAGAGGTCTTTCCGAACCACCGGGCGCGTCGCGGCGCGGCGCGCCACCTCGACGAAGCCCTCGTCGAGGAAGGCGGCAAGCGTGCCGGGAAAGAGATCGCCGGAGCCGGGCTTCCTGCGCGCCGCGCGGTCGACCGGGTAGGCCTCGACCGCCACGGCGCCCTGCCTGCGGGCATGCTCCACCGCCGCGCGGACCAGCCGGCGCAGCAGGCCCTGCCGCCGGTGTTTCTTGGCCACGATGAAACAGTTCACCGACCAGACGTCCTTGTCGTCGACGGCGGCGAAGCTGCGGGAGCGGTTCAGCCGGTCGAAGACCCGGCGCGGGGCCACCCCGCACCAGGCGGCCGGCGCGCCCTCCGCATAGGCGATCAGCCCCGGCGGCGGGCCGCGTTTCACCAGCTTGCGGAAGAACGCGCGGTTGCCGCTGTCCCAGCCGGCGCGGTAGTCCGCGTTCGAGCAGTACCAGTAGGCGCACCAGCAGCGGGAGGCATCGCCGCAGTCGTTGAACACCGCTTCGGCATCCTCCAGGCGTTGCGGCGTGAGCGGCTCGAAGGTCAGACGGTCGGGCATGAGGGCAGTCTGCGGCAAAGACAGCGGCGCGGCAATCGCCCCGGGCGGACCCGGTCCCCCTTTGAGGCCGCCGGCCCCTTTCGATAAGGTTCCCCTGAGCAACCTCGGGAGCCCTCATGGCGCGTGATTTCGAGTGGGACGATATCCGTGTCTTTCTCGCCGCCTGCCGGGCGGAATCGCTGACCGGCGCGGCGCGCAGGCTCAAGGTCAGCCAGCCGACGGCAGGCCGGCGCCTCAAGGCCCTGGAGGAGCGGCTGGGGGCGACGCTGTTCGAGCGGCTGCCGGACCGGCTGGTGCTGACGGAGGCCGGGCGCGCGCTGCTGCCCTTCGCCGAAGAAATGGAGCAGCAGAGCCTGGCGCTGTCCCAGGCGCTGGACGGGGCGACTCCGACGGCCGAAAAGGTGATCCGCGTCACCGCCATCGAATCCCTGGCGGTGTTCCTGGCCCGCGCGTTCGGCGAGGTGGAGGCGCGCTGCGCGCCCCATACCGTCGAGCTGATCGCCACCGGCGAGCGGCTGAACCTGGCGCGGCAGGAGGCCGACATCGCCTTCCGCATGAACGCGGTGCCGACGCGCGGCGATCTGATCTGCCGCAAGCTGGGCCGCCTCGCCTTTGCGCTCTATGCGCGGCGCGATCATGCGGAGGAACTGGCCGCGGACCCGGCGGCGCTTCAGCACGCAGATTTCGTCGGCTACCGGGAAAACCCGCGCAAGGCCTCACAGTCGCGCTGGCTGTTCGACTTCGGCAATGACGGCCGCTTTCCCCTGCGCGTCAGCGATCTCCAGCTGCGTTACGAAGCGGCGCGCAGCGGCCGGGGCGTCACCCTGCTGCCCTGCCACCTGGGCGATGCCGATCCGGAGCTGGCCCGCGTGGACGGACCCATCGCGGCACTGGAGGAAGACATCTACCTGCTGATGCACGAGAGCCGGAAGGGGCAGCCCGCGGTCCGCCAGGTGGCGGAGGCCCTGGCGGCGCTGATCCAGGCGCGGCAGGACGCGCTGACCGGCAGGGCGAACTGACCGGCACAGCGCCGCCCTGACGCGGACCTGAAAGGCGTCTGACGGGGGTCCCGACAAATCTGCATGCAGTCCCTGCGGACTTGGTGGGTTCCGCCGCGGCGGCGCAGCTTTAGCCTGTCGGGACCTGCCGTCCCCTGAGGGCGGGCCCAGCGGAGCGGAGCAGCGTCATGCCGGCAGAGCAGTTCCAAGAGGAGCACTTCCCCGAGAGACATTTCCGCGAGGGGCACTTTCGCCTCGTCCTTGCCTTCGCCGCCTTCGGCCACGCCTGGTTCCACGTTCTGGTCGCACTGTTCCTGACCCTGGTGCTGGTGCTGGAGCCGGCCTGGGAGCGCCCCTATGACGATCTGATCGGGCTGTGGACGGCGGGCGCTTTCCTGTTGGGGCTGGCCGCCCCGGCCGCCGGGTGGCTGAGCGACCGCTGGGGCGAAGCGCGGATGATGGCGGTCTATTTCCTGGGGATCGGCCTGGCGGCGATCCTCTGCGGGCTTTCGGGCAGCCCGCAGCAGCTTGCCGGCGCCCTCGCGCTCATGGGTCTGTTCGGGGCGATCTATCATCCGGTCGGGACCGCCTGGATCACCAAGCATGCACAGCGGCGGGGCCGCGCCCTCGCCCTGCTCGGCCTCGCCGGCAGCATTGGCGCCGCCATCGCCTCTCTCATCGCCGCACTGCTTGCCCTTGCGCTCGGCTGGCGCCTGGCCTTCATCCTGCCGGGCGCGGTCTCCGTGGCGGCGGGCCTTGCGCTTGCCGCCCTCGTCGCCGGGGGGCGCATTGTCGACACCGCCGACGACGCGGTCGCCGGAGGGGAGCCCGGCCGCCCGGAACGGCGCCGCGCCTTTGCCGTGCTGGCCGTCACCATGTCGCTGACGTCGGTGGTCTACGTGGCTTTCACGACCATGCTGCCAAAGTGGTTCGAGCGCGAACTGGGTGCGGGGTCCGGCGACGGCCAGCCGGGGAGCAGTCTGGTGGAGAACGGCATGCTGGGAGACGGTCTGCTGGAGGAAAGGCTTCTGGGCATCGGTGCGATGGTCACCCTGGTCTATCTGCTCGGCGCGACGGCTCAACTCTTCGGCGGCCACCTCGCCGACCGGGGCCTGGCCCGCCCGGTCTACATCGCAAGCTACGGCTTCAAGCTCGCCGTCCTGCTAGCCGCCGCCGCGCTCGGCGGCTGGCCGGTGGTGATCGCCGCCGCGGTGATCCTCTTTGCCTTCGACATCGCCGCCCCGGTGGAAAGCGTGCTGATCGCGGGCTTCACGGCGAGCCGCCGGCGCGGCCTTGCCTACGGTCTGCGCAACGGGATCGCCATTGCCGCCGGCCCGCTGGGCGTGCAGCTTGTCGCCTGGACCTTCGACGAGGCAGCCGGCTTCGCAACGCTCTTCCTGGCCCTTGCCGGGATCGTCGGTATCGTCCTGCTCTGCGCCGGCTTCCTGCCGCACAGCGCGGCGAGACAACACACGCCGAAGGAAGCCGCACGGACCATCTGAAGCGGGTCGCCGCGCCTAGTGCTCGAAGTAGGTGCTGGGCGGCACGCCGAGCGCGCGTTTGAACATCGTGGTGAAGCTGCTGGGCGTGCGGTAGCCGAGGTCGATCGCGACCGTCGTGATCGCCTCGCCCGCCGCCAGACGCTCCAGAGCCACCGCCAGACGCAGTTGCTGACGCCAGGCCCCGAAAGACATGCCGGTGTCCAGCAGGAAGCGGCGCGCCAGGGTCCGCTCGCTGAGGTGGACGGCTTCCGCCCAATGCCCGAGCGGACGGTTATCGGCAGGGTTGGCGCGCAGCGCCTGCATCACCTTGCGGACGCGGGCGTCCTCACCCTGCGGCAGGCGCAGCGGCGTGGCCGGCAGGGCGACCAACTGATCCAGCAGGACGGTCATCAGCCGGTGTTCGCGCCCATCGGGCGCATAGTCCCAAGGCAGGCGGGCGGCGGCATCGATCAACTCGCGGGTCAGCGGGTCGATCTGCATGACGGTGGTCTGCCCGGGCAGCTCGCGGCAGTGGTCGGGCGCGACGAAGAGGCCGCGGAACGCAACCTCCCGCGGATAGTCGACGGCATGGGGGGTTTCCGGCGGCAGCCAGACCGCCCGGTGCGGCGGCACGACAAAGAGTGCGTCGCGGGTCCGCACGGAGGCGCAGCCCCGCAGGGCATAGACCAACTGGCCGCGGCGATGACTGTGCCAGTCGAGGCTGCGTGGGCCGGGGTCGTCCCAATGCTCGCCCACAATGGGCGCAGCGGCCCTGTCAGCCGGGTGATCGGCCAAGTGATCGGCGAAGTGATCGGCAAAGTGATCGGCCGGGCCGTCGTCCGAACCGTCGCGCATGGCTGATCTTCCCAAAACATTGACCGGTTCTCGAAAGCCAGATGGGGGCCCCGCCCCCAGATTCAAGCGCAACGACGCGGCGGGCAGAGCGAATCGCCGGCAGGACCCCTGAGCCGCCGGGGTTGGACAGATGGGATTGGAGAGAACGGAATGACGGAACCCGGACACAGGCGGTGGATGTCCGCCGGCACCGCCGCGCTGGCGGTCTGGCTGGGGGCCGCTGCCCCCGTCGGCGCACAGACAATCACCGCCCAGACAATCATCGCCCAGACACCAAGCGGCGATCCCTCCGCCGGCGAGCGGGTCTTCCGGCAGTGCGCCGCCTGCCACACGGTCGAGCCCGACCGCCACCGGGCCGGGCCCTCGCTCTACGGCATCTTCGGCCAGAGCGCCGGGGCGGTGGAGGGCTTTCGCTACTCCCGCGCCATGCAGGAGGCCGAGATCGTCTGGGACGAAGAGACCCTGACCGCCTATCTGACCGATCCGAACGGCTTCCTGCCCGGCACCACCATGCGGATCGCCTTGCGCAATGCCGAGGATGCGCCCGATCTCATCGCCTATCTGCGAACACTGGGAGCCAATTAGGCACCCTTTCGCAAGCACACCCACGAACCCGGGAGACCACCATGATCGACCTCACTGTCAATGCGCGCGCCGTACAGGTCGATGCGCCCGAGGACACCGCGCTGCTGTGGGTCCTGCGCGAACACCTGGGCCTCACGGGCACCAAGTTCGGCTGTGGCGCCGGCATGTGCGGGGCCTGCACCGTCCACGTCGACGGCGTCCCCACCTTCGCCTGCCTGACCGCCGTGGGCGATGTCGCCGGTGCGGCGGTGACGACGATTGAAGGCTTGGGCGAAGGCCCGGGCGAGGGCCCGGAGGGTGAGGCGGATCACCCCCTGAAGCGGGCCTGGGTGGCTGAACAGGTGCCCCAGTGCGGCTATTGCCAATCCGGCCAGATCATGCGGGCGGCGGCCCTGCTGGAGGAGAACCCCGATCCCAGCCGGCAGGAGATCCTCCAGTCGATGAGCAGCAACCTCTGCCGCTGCGGCACCTACAACCGGATCGTCAAAGCGGTGCAGCGCGCCGCCAGGGAGGCTTGATATGCCCAGAGACAGCCATAAGGCCACAGCACAAAGCGATACCCCGTCGCTTTCCCGGCGCGGCTTTCTTGCCGGCACAGCCGCCCTCACCTTCATGATCGGCAGCGGCGGGCTGGTCTCCGTCGCGCGGGCAGACGCAGCAGCAGCAGACAAGACCCTGAAGCCCAGCGCCTGGCTGAGCATCGCCGGCGACGGGACCATCACCATCGTCTTTCCCTCAACGGAGATGGGCCAGGGCAGTTCCACCGCGCTGCCGCTGATCCTCGCGGAGGAACTCGACGCCGACTGGGACCGGGTGGTGATCGAGCAGCTGAGTCGTGACGACCGCAACTTCGGCAACCCGATTTTCGGCGGCGTGCTCTACACCGCCGGCAGCACGGGGGTCTACGGCTACTTCGATACGCTGCGCAAGGCCGGCGCCCAGGCGCGGCGCCTGCTGATGCAGATCGCGGCGGACAGTTGGTCGGTGCCGCTGGACAGCGTCGCCACCGAACCGGGCGCCGTGGTTCACAGCGCAAGCGGGCGGCGGCTGAGTTACGGAGAGATCGCCGCCCTAGACGCCCCCCTCCCCGCCGTCACCGAGGTCGGCGAAGACGATCTGAAACCACGCTCGGCCTACCGCCTGATCGGCCAGAACCTGCCGCGCCGCGACGTGCCGGCCAAGAGCGATGGCACGGAACGCTATGCCATCGACGTGCGCGTGCCCGGCATGGCCTACGCCACCGTGCTGCGCAGCCCGGTGGAAGGCGAAAGCCCCGTTCGAATCGACGACGCCGCCACACTGGGGGTTCCGGGCGTTCTGCAAACCGTGGAACTGCCGGACGGCGTGGCGGTGGTCGCCGAGCGCCTGGAAGCGGCCCTGGCCGGCAAGGACCTGCTGGACGTGACCTGGAGCGAGACCGCCCCGGCGCGCAGCTACGACAGCGCGACGGATCTGGCCGGTTATGCGGCGGCGGCCGGCGACAGTGCCCGCGAGGGCGTGACCTGGGCCGCCCAGGGCGATGCGGCGGCGGCCATTGCCGGCGCCGCGCGGGTGGTGGAGGCGAACTACCTTTCCGACTACGCCTACCACGCCCAGATGGAACCGATGGCGGCGGTGGCGGCGGTCGATGCCGACGGCAAGGGCGCCGAGGTCTGGGCCGGAACCCAGACCCAGAGCTGGACCATGCGCACCATCACCGAGATTCTCGACACCACGGCCGACCGCATCCGCCTGCACATGATGACCATGGGCGGCAGCTTCGGACGCCGTACGGCGCTGACGCAGGAATACCTGCGCGACGCCCTGCTGACCTCAAAGGCCACCGGCCGGCCGGTGAAGGTGGTCTGGAGCCGCGAGGACGACGTGAAGTTCGGCTGGTTCCGCCCTGCCGCCGCCCAGCGCCTGCGCGCCGGCCTGACAGCCGACGGCAGCCTCAGCGGCTGGCACCACCGCGTCGCGACGCCCTCGGTCATTGCCTACTTCAATCCGCTGCGCTGGGATCAGGTGGAACCGAAGGACATCATTTCGATGCGCGGTTCCGAGAACAAGTTCTACAGCATCGCCGATCTCCATGCCGAGCATGTTGTCACCGAGCGCGGTGCGCGGCTGGCGCCCTGGCGCGCCATCGGCGCCAGCTACACCAGCTTTGCCGCCGAAGCCTTCATGGACGAATTGGCGGCAGCGGCCGGCAGCGACCCGCTGGACTTCCGGCTCGGCCTTCTACAGGACAACCCGCGTGGCCGCGAGCTGCTGCAGCGCGTTGCCGGAAAGGCCGGCTGGGGCGCGCCAGAGACGAGGGGCGGCGAGACCGCACTCGGCCTCGCCTTTGCCGGCTATGGCGATTCCATGGCGGCCGGCATCGCCGAAGTGGCTCTTGACCGGAACAGCGGACGGCTTGCCGTCACCCGTTTCTGGGCGGCGGTGGACGCCGGTCTGATCGTGGCGCCGGACAACGCCCTGGCGCAGATCGAAGGCGGAATCATTTTCGGGCTCAGCAGTGCCCTGAAAGAGAGCATCACCATCGCCGGCGGCGAGGTGGTGCAGAGCAATTACTACGACTACGAGATCCTGCGCGCCGACGAGGTGCCGGAGATCGACATCCAGCTCCAGGTCAGCGACGGACCGCCGACGGGCATTGGCGAGGTCGGCACACCAATGGTCGCCGCCGCCGTTGCCAACGCCTTTCACGGGCTCACCGGGCGGCGCTTGCGCCACCTGCCCTTTACCCCGGAGCGGGTGCTGGAGGCGCTGGCCTGAAGGTGCTGGAAAAAGACTGATCGAAACGGTCAGCTGCCGTCGGTCGGGGCCTCGCGGGTCGCTTCGACGCCGACCGGGGCGCCGACGACGACCACCGTCAGGTCATCGGGCCGATAAACCCGCTTTGCCACCCGGCGGGCGTCCTCCAGGGTGACGGCTTCGATGAAGTCGTTGCGCCTGTCGAGATAATCGATGCCCAGGTCTTCCAGCTGCATGCCCACCAGCATGCCGGCGATGCGCCCGGAGCTGGAGAACCGCAGCGGGAAGGAGCCGGTGAGAAAGCGTTTGGCCGCCTCAAGCTCCGCCTCCGTCGGCCCTTCGCTCGCCATCCGCTGCCATTCCTGACGGATCAGATCCAGCGACTCGCCGACCCTCGCGTTCTGGGTCGCCACACCGCCGGCGACCAGGGCGCCGTGGTCGAGCGGGCTGAGATAGGAGTAGACGGAATAGGCGAGACCGCGCTTCTCACGCACCTCCTCAACGAGACGCGAGGCGAAACCGCCGCCGCCCAGAATATAGTTGACGACATAGGCCGCGTAGTAGTCCGGGTCGTCGCGCTTGATCCCGCCCTGCCCCAGGGAGACCACCGACTGGGGGATGTTTTTTTCGATCACCACCAGATCGCCTGCATTACCGATGTCGGCTTCCGGTACGGAGAACGGCTGGGCCGACAGGGGCAGCGGCAAAAAGGTGGAATCGAGCAGGGCTTCCAGTTCATCCGTGGTGATGTCGCCGACGACGCCGATGAACAGTTGATCGCGGGCGAAGCGGTCTTGCACGAAGCCGCGCAGGTCATCGGTGGTGATCGACCGGACGCTCGCCTCCGTGCCCCGCGTCGGCCGCGCATAGGGATGATCCTGGAACATCAGTTGCCTGAGCGTGCGGCTGGCGATGACATCCGGGTCTTCGGCCTCGCGGGAGAGCCGCGCCAGGATCTGGCTGCGGATCCGCTCCACCGGCTCCCTGTCGAAGCGCGGCGCCGTGATCGCCAGGCGCAGAAGCTCGAAGGCACGTTCGCGGTTCTCGGTGAGCGTGGTCAGCGAACCGTTGAAGTTGTCCAACCCAGCATTGAACCGCAGACCGATGGAGAGATCGTCGAGCGTGCCCTGAAAGGTCTGGGAGTCGAGCGGCCCCGCCCCCTCGTCGATCAGACCCGACACCATGTGGGCCAGGCCTGGCTTGTCTTCAGGGTCGAGGGAGGCGCCGCCGCGAAACACGAGTTCCACCGCGATGATCGGATTGCTGTGGTCCTCGACCAGCCAGGCCTCGATCCCGCCGGGGCTGACGACGCGCTGAACCTCCACGGCCCGAGCCTGAAAGGCCGCGAAGAGGGTCGCGAGGGCCAGGAGGCCGGCAACGGCCCCCGCAACCCAGGAGGGCCTGGCGGAAGACGCGGCCGGTGCCTGCGCGGCAGGCAGCGTTCTTTGATGGCCCCGCGCGTATCGATGGACCTGAGGTTCCGGATGTCTGTGCATGAGCTTCAGCCTCTTCAGGTGGTCGGCTTCGGCAGGAGATAGCCGGTAACCGATTGCTCTTCGCGGAAAACGCTTTCCAGCAGACCGTTCACGTCTTCGACGGTCACGGAATCGATGCGCTGCGGCCAGGCCTCGATGTCTTCCAGGCTGCTGCCGGTGGTCAGGGCGTTGCCGATGATCCGCGGCGCGGTGCTGAGATTGTCCCGCGCATAGACGGCGCCGGCGACCAGCCGCTTCTTTGCGGCCGTGACCTCGTCTTCGCCGATGCCGGTTTCGAGCAGCTTCGCGATCTCCGCGCGCAATGCCGCCTCGACCGCCGCGATGTCTCCGTCCGGCCGCGGCGAGGCATAAAAAGAAAAGGTCGCGTAGTCATAGGCCATCGGGTTATAGCCCGAACCGGCGGAGGCGGCGATGCCCTGATCCACCACCAGCCTGCTGTAAAGGCGGCTTGTGGCGCCGCCGCCCAGGATCTCGGAAAGCACCTGGAGGGCATAGGCCTCGGCGCCTTCGGCCTGCCGGTAGCTGGGCGCCAGATAGCTGATGGAGAGGCTCGGCTGGCGCACGCGCGGGCTGCGCAGCGTGACCTCGCGGGCACCGTTCTGCGGCGGCTCCGCAACGCGCTCACGCATCGGGATATCGCCGGCCGGAATGGGCCCGTAGTAGGTTTCCGCAAGGCGGCGCACCGCCTCCGGGTCGACGTCGCCGGCAACGATCAGTATGGCGTTGTTGGGGGCATACCAGCGCTCGTAGAAGCGCAGCGCCGCCTCGGTGTTCAGTTGCTCGATCTCGTGATCCCAACCAATGATGGGGATGCGGTAGGGGTGGTTGAGAAACTGGGTCGCACGAATCATCTCACCCAGCTGTCCGCGCGGTTCGTTGTCGATGCGGCTGCGCCGCTCCTCGCGCACCACCTCGCGCTCCGGCGTCACCACGTCGTCGGTCAGCACCAGGTTGGCCATGCGGTCGGCCTCGTGGCGCATCATGATCTCCAGGCGGTCGGCTGCGACGGTCTGGAAGTAGCCGGTGTAATCCCAGGATGTGAAGGCGTTTTCCCGTCCGCCGTTGGCGGCGATGATCTCGGAGAATTCGCCGGGCTCCAAGGACTCGGTCCCCTTGAACATAAGATGCTCAAGAAAATGGGCGAGGCCGGATTCGCCGGCCTGTTCGTCGGCGGCGCCAACCCGGTACCAGACCGAATGGTGGACGATGGGCGCCCGCTGGTTCACCACCACGACGACCTGCAGGCCGTTGTCCAGGGTGAAGCTGACCGGGTCGAAAACCTTGGCCTGCGCCGTCTGAAGCGGGCCGCCGATCTGGACAACGAGAGCCAGGACGCCGATGGCCAACAGCCGACGGGCGTCTTTCAAGACCTTCATGGGCGCAAATCCCTCATCTGGTGCCGAGGCCCGCGCGGGCCGTCATGGGCTTCTAGCCGTTATGGGCTTCTATATGGCCCGCAGCGGCAAGGCCGCAAGCAGCACCATGGCCAGCGGAGATGAACTTTCGGTCACAAAACCGTTCGGAAGGCCGCTGTCCCTGGCCCTGGTCCCGTCCTGACCCGGTGTTCCGGAAACCGCCGCGGCCCACCGCAAGACGGCATTCTCGGCGGCAGAGCCTAGAAAATGCCTTCCCTAGAAGATGCCCTCCAGGGGCGCCCGGCGGCGGCGCTCGATCTGCGGCGTCGGCCCTGTGGTCGGCGACTGGCCGAGGGCGGCATTCTCCTGCAGACGGCGCAATTCTGCCTGCGGATCGACGATGGTGCCGGCCGGCGCCTGGGCGTTCCAGAACACCAGCCGATCCACGAACCGCTCGGACTCTTCGTTAATCTGGTTGGTTTCGCGCTCAACGATAAGGCGAATGTTCGGCTCGGCGCTCTGCGCGCCGGCTGCATTCAGAAGCGACTGTTCGCCAAGAGAGCGGTTGGGGTTGATCGCCGTCTGGGTCACCACGGTCGGTTGCCCGGCCGAATTGCGCAAGACCGCCCGTTCGGCCTGCTGCGCCGACGTGCCTTCCTGCGGCCGCGGCGCCCCCGGCTCAGGCGGGCGCAACGAAAAGTCCGGCGGCACGGTCAGCGGCGCCCGGGACACCACGCGGAATTCGTCGGGAGACTGCTTGGTGAGGCCCAATTGCTCACGGAACCCCCCACAGGCGGCCAGCGCCAACATAAGACTGCCGGCAACAAGTAAACGGAAAGTCATCGCTCGATCCATCGTTGACTACCTCCCTATCCCCGGACCCCTATTTACTCTTCCTGCCCACTTCGAACAAGCCATCAACAACAATCAGTGCTGCACCGCACACAATTGCACTGTCCGCGATATTGAACGCCGGCCAGTGCCATCCGGCCAGGTGAAAGTCCAGAAAGTCGACCACCCCCGGCTGGTGCATACGATCGATGACATTGCCGATCGCACCACCGACCACCAGGCCGATCCCATAGGGCAGCAGCCCGACGGGCTGGCGTTTGACCCAGACCAGCAGGGCCGCCACCACCGCCAGGGCCAGGCCCGACAGCAGATAGGGGCCCCAGGGCGAGTCGTTCTGGAGCAGGCCGAAGCTGACCCCGGTGTTGTAGGTCAGCACCAGATTGAAGAACCCGGTCACCTCCACCACGCTGCCCCGCCCGGCCATGGTGGCCAGGATCACCGCCTTGGTGATCTGGTCCAGGACGAGAACGACCGCCGCGAGGCCAAGGGTCCGCTGCATGCGCGCCGTGAACCCCGCCGTCCGCTACTGCGCCGCGGCGCCGAGGTGCTGCACGGCATCGGCGCAGCGCCGGCATGTCCCGGGCGCCTCGGGGATGCTGCCCACCTCCGGCAGCACCTTCCAGCAGCGCTCGCACTTCTCGCCCTCGGCCAGACGCACAGTCACCGCAACGCCGGCAACCTCGTCCAGGCGAAAGGCCTCCGCCGGGCCTTCGCCCTCGGTCACGGTGATCGCCGAGGTGATGGCGATGTCCGCCATATCGACGTCGGCGACGGCGGCCAGCAGGTCCGGCCGGGCGACGAAGACTTCCGGGTGCCCCTGCAGGCTGGAGCCGAGACGCTTGTCCGCGCGCTCCAGCTCCAGGGCCCCGGTGATCACCCGGCGGACATCACGCACCTTCGACCACTTGGCGGCCAGGGCCTCGTCGAGCCAGCCTGCCGGCACCTCCGGGAAGGTGCGCAGGTGAACGCTGGCCTCAGGCCCCTTGCCGCGCGCCCACCAGGCCTCCTCGGCGGTGAAGCAGAGGATCGGCGCCAGCCAGGCCGTGAGACAGGAGAAAACCTCGTCCAGCACCGTGCGGCAGGCGCGCCGGCGCAGGGAATCCGGCCGGTCGCAATAGAGCACGTCCTTGCGGACGTCGAAGTAGAAGGCCGAAAGGTCGACGGCGCAGAAGGTGTAGACCGCCTGATAAAGGGCGTGGAAGTGAAAACCCTCGACATTGCGGCGCACCTGCCGGTCCAGTTCCGCCAGGCGATGCAGCACCCAGCGCTCCAGTTCCGGCATCTCCTCGGCGTCCAGGCGCTCGCTTTCCTGGAAGCCGTCGAGGTTGCCCAGCAGGAAGCGCAGTGTGTTGCGCAGCCGGCGGTAGGCGTCGCCCTGATACTTCAGGATCTCCGGCCCGAAGCGCAGGTCTTCCTCGTAGTTCGAGGCAACCACCCAGAGCCGAAGAATATCGGCGCCCTGGTTGTCCACCACATCCTGCGGGGAGAGCGCGTTGCCCTTCGACTTCGACATCTTTTCCTTGCCCTGCTCCTCCAGGATGAAGCCATGGGTCAGGACCGCCTCGTAGGGCGCGCGCCCGCGCGTGCCGGCGGATTCCAGCAGCGAGGTGTGGAACCAGCCGCGGTGCTGGTCGGAGCCTTCGAGATAGAGGTCCGCCGGCCACTTCAGTTCCGGCCGTGCCTCCAGGACAAAGCTGTGGGTGGAGCCTGAATCGAACCAGACCTCCACCACGTCTGTGATCTGCTCGTAGTCCTCGGCGTTGTACTCGTTACCGAGGAAGCGCTGCGGATCGCTGGAGAACCAGGCGTCGCCGCCCTCTTCCTCGAACGCGGTGGCGACTCTTTCGATCACTGCCGGGTCGCGCAGCGCCTCGCCGGTCTTCTTGTCGACGAAAATCGGCAGCGGCACGCCCCAGAGGCGCTGGCGCGAGATGCACCAGTCCGGACGCTGCTCGATCATCGAGCGCAGGCGGTTGCGCCCGGTCGCCGGCACGAAGCGCGTTTCATCGATCGCCTTCAGCGCCTTTTCCCGCAGTTCGTTGGTCTCCATGGAGATGAACCACTGCGGGGTGTTGCGGAAGATCAGCGGCGCCTTGGAGCGCCAGGAATGCGGATAGCTGTGCCGGAGCTTCCCCCGGTGCAGCAGCCGGCCTGCTTCCGCCAGGGCCGCGATGACCCGTCCATTGGCGTCGCCCGGCTTGCCGTTCTCGTCGTAGACCACCGCGCCGCCGACCAGGGCCACGTGGTCGTAGAAGGTGCCGGAGCCATCGACGGTCTGCGGAATTTCGATGCCGTGCTGCAGGCCGAGCGCCCAGTCGTCGGCGCCGTGCCCGGGCGCGATGTGGACGAAGCCGGTGCCCTGCTCGGTGGTGACGAAATCGCCGGCCAGCGCCGGGACGTCGAAGTCGTAGCCGCCGGCAGCGGGTGCAAAACCGCGCCAGGGATGGGCGCAGACCGCACCGGCCAGATCGTCGGCCGAGAGATCGCCGAGGTGTGTCCAGGCCTCGATCCTGGCATCGGCCTTGACGGTGTCCGCCAGGTCCTTGGCCAGCACCAGCTTCTCGCCGGCCGCGGCGTGGCTGCCCTCACCCGGGGTCTCGACCTGCCAGACGCCATAGGCGATCTCCTCGCCGAAGGCAACGGCCCGGTTGCCGGGGATGGTCCAGGGCGTGGTGGTCCAGATCAGGACGCTGGCACCCTCCAGCAGCGGCGCCTTGCTGCGCACCACCGGAAAGCGTACCCAGATCGTCTGGGAGACATGCTCGTGGTATTCGACCTCCGCATCGGCCAGGGCGGTGCGCTCCACCACCGACCAGAGCACCGGACGCGAGCCCTTGTAGATGCCGCCGTTCTGCAGGAACTTGCCGATCTCCCGGACGATCTGCGCTTCGGCGTCGAAAGACATGGTCAGATAGGGCCGCTCGAAGTCGCCCAGCACGCCAAGGCGCTGGAACTCCTCGGTCTGGACCTTCACCCACTTCTCAGCGAAGTCGCGGCATTCGCGGCGAAACTCCAGCGGCGGCACGCTGTCCTTGTCCTTGCCCGCGGTCCGGTACTGCTCCTCGATCTTCCATTCGATGGGCAGACCGTGGCAGTCCCAGCCGGGCACGTAATGCGCGTCCTTGCCGAGCATCTGGTGCGCGCGGTTGATGACGTCCTTCAGGATCTTGTTCAGCGCGTGGCCGATATGGAGATGGCCGTTTGCATAGGGCGGGCCGTCGTGAAGGATGAACTTCTCCCGGCCCTCTGACTGCTTGCGCTGCTGCTCGAAGAGGTCCATGTCCTGCCAGCGCGCCAGGGTCTGCGGCTCCTTCTTGGCCAGGCCCGCGCGCATCGGGAAGTCGGTCTTCGGCAAAAAGACTGTCGGTCGATAATCAACGCTCATCGCGTGCTTCTTCTTTGTCGGTTCCAGGCCCAGGCTGCAGGCGCCCCGTGTTTGCGGGCCGATCGGTCCGCGGCCCGCCCGTGGCGCCCGGCGCTTGGACGGCTCGGATCAGGAGGACCCGCGGTCAGTTCGGGCCGATCTGCCCCAGGACCGCGCGAGCCTGATCGCAATCGAGGGCGATTTGTGCCTTCAAAGCGTCAAGTCCGTCAAACTTCTTTTCCGGGCGCAGATAGTCGATCAAGCGCACCCGCAGGGTTTCGCCGTAGAGATCGGCATCGTGGTCGAAGAGGTGAACCTCCAGGCGCAGGTCCTCGCCCGCGACCGTGGGTCGCCGGCCGAGGTTGGCGACGGCAGGGATCCACCGGGTTTCCGCGCCGTGCTCCACCCCCGGATCGCGGCCGGCATAGACCGCATAGACGCCCAGGGCCGGGCAGAGGTAGTCCCCGAGCGCGAGGTTCGCGGTCGGAAAGCCGATGGTGCGGCCGCGCTGGTCGCCCTTCTCCACCCGCCCCTCGATCTCCCAGGGCCGGCCGAGGAGTTCGGCGGCTTGGCGCGGGGCGCCGTCACGCAGGTGCTGGCGGATGATCGAGGAGGAATAAACCGCCCCGCCGTGGGTCATAACCGGATCGACCGCCGTAACGCCGAAACCGAGCTTCGCGCCCATCGACTTCAGCAGCGCCACGTTGCCCTGGCGCTTGTGGCCGAAGCAGAAGTCCCAACCGACCACGACGTGCCGGGCGGCCAGATCGGCCACCAGCACCTGCTCGACGAAGGCCACGGCGGGCTGCAGCGAGAAAGCCCGGTCGAAGTGCAGCACGAAGAGGTGGTCCACCCCCTGCTCCTGCAGCGCATGGGCCTTGGACCGCAGGGAGGTCAGGCGGAAGGGGGGCTGGTCCGGCGCGAAGACCGAGCGCGGGTGCGGCTCGAAGGTGAGCACAGCCAGCGGGCAGGACAGCCGGGCTGCCAAGGCGCGGGCATCCGCCAGCAGGGTCTGATGGCCCTTGTGCACGCCATCGAAGTTGCCGATCACCACAACGCTGCCCCGGGCGTCGTCGGAAATCTCTGAGCTGTGTCGGAAGATCGCCATGAATTCGGCCGGTCTGACGCCTGTTGTCGAGGAAGCTGGTGGTGCCGGAAAGAGTGGTCGAAAGGCTCGAAAATCGAAGGGCCGGAAGTGGATGGGCCGAAATCGGATGGACGGTCTCGCCCTCAGGCGGTGCGAGCGGCAAGGCCGGGAACTAAACCGAAAACGGGGGTCAGTCCAGCCGATTCGCCGCCGCGGCGCGAAGATAGCCCGCCTATGCCTGCGTGAACAGGGCGCGAAGGCCCGCGCCAGCGAACGGCCGGCCCTGGTTGCCGGCCCTGGTTACTGGGGGCCCGGCCCTCAAAACGCTCAAGCCGGAGCGGAGGCCGGGGTTGCGGAGCAGTGGGTGGCGGAGCAGTGGGTGGCAGAGCGGTCCGGGTTAGCGCCCGTCTGAAAACGCCCGCCTGAGGGCGCCCCCCTACGAGCGCCGCTCTATTCCGCCGCTTCGGGTTCGGCGTCGGGCAGGTCCTTGCGGCTGGCCACCATCAAGGTCGCCTCGCCCTCCAGGACCACCGTCTCGCCGACCGTGCAGACGGTGTCGAAGATGACCCGCTTTCTCTCGGCCTGGATCTCCCGCACCGTGACCCGCGCTTCGACGGTATCGCCGACCTTGACCGGCGCCTTGAACCGCAGATCCTGGCGCAGATAGATGCAGCCGGGCCCGGGCAGACGGGTTCCGAATACCGTCGAGATGAAGCTCGCGGACAGCATGCCGTGGGCGATACGGCCGGAGAACATGGTCTGCTCGGCAAAGCTCTCGTCCAGGTGAACCGGATTGGTGTCACCGGAGATGCCGGCAAACATCGTAATATCGGCCTCGGTTACCGTCTTGGCGAACACCGCCGTCATCTTCGGCGACAGGTCTTCGATGAAGTAGCCATGCTTTTCGCGCATCAGACTCGAACCTCTGCCAATGAAACAATGTTTCTAAAACCGATTAATTTCGGCAATTTTGTTCTTTCCACTGTAGTGGAACAGGCTTCTTTTCGCAAGTGCGAATTCGCGGATGCGAAGGCGACCTAAGTATGACGGCAGTTGGTAAACTTCGCCTTATCGGCGCGCTTTTTCGGCGATGCGTCCCGCTGTTGCAGAACCGGCCCGCCGACTTTCCGGCGCCTGCCTCTCCAGCGTTTGCTTTAACGCCTGCGGGCGCGGCCGGTGGTCATGGCCGCGAGGTCGCGGTCGCGGTGATCGCGGTAGGCATCGAGCGTCAGCGTCGCCGTGGCCGCGTTCATGGAGGTGGTGACCGGCACGCTGGGCCCCTGCTCGGCCACCGGCACGGCCGCCCGCCGGACCATGCGATAGATGGCAAAAACGCCGATGGCCGCATGGACCAGACCGACGAAGGTGAAGAACCCGTCCGGCCCGACCCGGCCCATGAGCTGCGAGACGACCAGCGGGCCGAAGATGGCGCCGCTGCCGTTGACGAGCATCAGGCTGCCACTGGCGGCGACCATCTGCTTGGGCGTCAGATAGTCGTTGGTGTGGGCCAGGCAGAGCGAATACATGGGAAAGCTCATGCCGCCCAGAAGAAAGGCGACGGCATAGAGCCCGATCCGGTTGTCGCCGGAAAACAGAGGTGCCGCAAGCCCGACGAGCGCGGCTGAGAAGGTGACCGCGGCCAGAACGCGGCGGCGGTCCAGCTTGTCGGAGAGCCGCCCGATGGGCCATTGGAAGGCCATGCCGCCGAAAATCAGCATGCTCACGAAGAGGGCGATTTCCGAGACTTCCAGCCCTGCGAGACTGGCATAGACCGCGCCCATGCCGAAGATCGCGCCGTTGGCGACACCGGTGCCCAGCGATCCGACCACCCCCAGCGGTGATGCGCGGTAAAGCGCCCGGATGCCGACCGGGTTGGGTGCGGAGAAATCAGGCGCCGGCCCCACCGACACCGAAATCGGCACCAGGGCCAGGGAGACCAGGACCGAGGCCAGCACGAAGAGAACGAAGCTGTTGGGGTCGGAAAGGTTCAGCAGGAACTGCCCGCCGGCGATGCCGCCCAGGACCACCAGCATGTAGACCGACAGCATGGAGCCGCGGGTCTCGTTGGTCGAACGGTCGTTGAGCCAGGATTCGGCGACGATGTAGAGGCCGGCATAGCAGAACCCGGTGAGGACCCGCATGAGCATCCAGATCCAGGGGTCGACGAAGACCGCATGCACCAGCGCGGCCGTCGAGGCGGTCGAGGCGAGCGCGGCGAAGACGCGCACATGGCCCACGTTGCCGACGGCCCGGGGCGTAACGAGGGCGCCGGCCAGGAAACCGATGAAGTAGCCGGACATGACGAGACCCGTGGTCTCGGTGCCGAAATTCTCAGCCGAGGCGCGGATACCCAGCAGCGAGGCCTGCAGCCCGTTGCCCAGCATGATCATGCCGAGGCCGACGAAAAGCGCCCAGGCGGAGCGAACAGCAGCGAACATGGCCGATCCCGTCGTTTTCTTGCCGTCTTCGACGTGCACCCACTTTGTGCTTATGCCGCTCAGGACGGCCGGGCGCTATCGGAAATGCGGCAAAAGCCAGGCGCGAACGGGCGAAACGCCGGAACCGTCACCGCCGCGCGTCCCAAGCCGCGTCACAGGCCAAGCCGCGTCAAAGGCCAAGCCGCGTCAATGGGTCGCCAGGGCCTCTCGCAGCGCCGTCTGCTCGGCCGCGGAAAAGCCGACGACAAGGCGGTCGCCGGCGCGGATGACAGGCCGCTTGATCAGGGTGGGGTGAGCCAGCATCAGCCGCTTGGCGGCCACGGCATCCAGCCCCTCCTTCTCCGCCGGCGGCAGGCCCCGCCACGTCGTGCTGCGCCGGTTCAGCAGGCGTTCCCAGCCGAGCCGGGCGAGCCAGTCCTCGAGATCGGCAGCCGCGACGCCGTCGTCGCGCAGATCGTGCAGGTTCACCTCGTGGTCACCGGCCTCCAGCCAGGCCCTGGCCTTGCGGCAGCTGTCACAGTTTTTCAGCCCGTAGATCGTGATCATCGCGACCCTCCCATCCTGTCCACCTTGTTCACCTGTCCCCCAGTTCACCGGCGCCCGGCCTGCGCACGGCGCGCCGAAAACCCCGAAACCGACACCGGCGGCCCGACGGGCTCCACGCAGAGAGACCAGCGCCTCGAGGGCCGAGGTGCGAGGTCACAGCCATTCCCAGGTAGAACACCATCTCCGTGAGCACAAGGCCTGGCAGGGCCTGGCAGGGCCTGCCGGCCACCGCCATGCGTTGCAGAGCAGGGAACAGCGATCAACCAATTGACAGACGGCCTCTGTGCCGTTGGTCTAGGCAGATGACACGCGCCGCCGACAGTTCCCAAAATAAGGCAGATCCGCCGCTCGGCGGCGAAACCATCGTGCTGTTCGAGGATGACGACCTCGTCCGTCGGGCCACCCAGCGCATGCTGCAGCGTCTTGGCGCCCAGGTGGTCATCGGCAACACCAGCGCGGAGGCGGTAGAGCACCTCCGCGCGCAGGGGGCCGCCCCGACCTGGGTCATCGCGGACTATTGGTTCTCGCGGCTGGAAGACGGGCTGGTGGCCACCCAGGCCGTCCGCGACGCCGTGGGCGGGGAGATCAAAGGCCTCATCATCACAGGCGACAGTTCGGTCGAGGTCGCAAATGCGGTGCGGGCGGCCGGGCTCCACCTGCTGCGAAAGCCAGTGAACACGGATCGCATCATCGCGATCCTGGCGGAGAACGCTTAGACAAAGCGTCATGAGCGTGAGGATATAGCCAAGCAGAGCAGAACGATTATCTATTGGAAGTTGCATAGAGAGCAGACCAGATGCGTGCGGTCTGCAAAGGGATGCCTTTCGGGACGCGGCCAGCACCGGCACAGGCGCGCCCGGGAAACCCAGAGACCCTAGACGATTTCCAGTTGATAACTCTGCGAAAATTCGGACAATGGGCCGCCAACAGCATTGTCGGATCGAAGCCCCCTGCCAAATCAGCGGGCCTTCGAAATTGGCATGCCATAACATTAAGTTGCGGACTGGGTAGGACCACGGACCGCGCAGTGGACCCGAACAAAAGGTCCATTCCGGTCTCTTACAAAGATCAATTCAGGATTCTCTAAATTATGAAAGTCCTCTATGCCGACGACCACTGGATCACGCGCAGCGCTGCCCGCCACCTGATTGATCGCTTGGAAAGCGGCAGCGAGCTTTTGGAGGCCGCCGACTTTCGCCAGGCGCTGGATATCGCATCGGCCAACCCGGATCTCGACCTGATCCTCCTGGATCTGCTGATGCCGGGCATGAAGCGCTTCGAAGGACTGCGCGCAATGCGGGAATGTTTGCCGCAGGTGCCTGTGGTCGTGATGTCGGCCATCGAAGACCGTGACGAGATCCTGCGCTGCATCGAGGCCGGCGCGATGGGGTACATCCCCAAGTCTTCCCAGAGCGACGAGGTGGAATCGGCGCTGCAGACCGTTCTCGCCGGCGGCGTCGCCTTCCCGCGGCGCCTGCTCGAGCAGCGCAGTTCCGCCAAAAAGCAGGCGGTCTATGCCTTCGGCAACGAGAAGTCGATCGAGGACGTTTCCGGCGCTCTGACCAAGCGGCAGTTTCAGGTCTACAAGCTGCTCGGCCAGGGCATGTCCAATGCCCAGGTGGCCGAGGCGCTCGGCCTTTCCGAACACACCGTGCGCGTTCATGTGTCGGCCATCGTCAAACGGCTGAACCTGGACAGCCGGACCCAGGCCGCCATCAGCGCCGCGGCCCAGGCCCGCGCGCTGGAAGACGAAGCGGAAGCCGCGAACTACTGAGCCCGGCCCCAAAGGCCCGGATTAAAGGCCTCACGCAGAAGCTCTGACGGGTGCGACCGGGCCGCGTTCGCCGGCACGGGAGCCTGTAAGGCTGGCCGCGGGCCGCAGCGATCACCAGAAAACGAAGCCTCTTCGCCCGTCGGCGCCGGAACCCGCCGGGCTTTGCGCCGCAACGGCTTCACCCGGATGGCCAGCCGCCTCCGGCCACTGCATCAGCCCCGGCTCTGTTCCAGGGCAAAGAGGCAAAGCGCCCTCAACTGCGCCGGCTTGACCGGCCGGTAAAGGACGTGAACCGGGCCCGGCAGGACCGCGGCGCTCTCGCTCTTGCCCCGGTCGCTCAGCAGGACGACGGCCGGCCGGCCGCCCTGCCTCTCCCGAGCGGCGGCCAGCAGATCCCGCCCGGCCATGGCGTCGAACCCGGCCATATCGGCGACCAGAAGAGCCGGCGGGTGCTCCAGGACCTCCGCAAGCTTGTCAGCGGCATTGGCGCTTATGCGCGGGCGGGCGCCCCAGCGCTGCAGATGGTCCTGAATCACTTCAGCATCCGGGTTGTCAAAGACCACGATGTCGGCGTCTTCCAGCGGGTTGGGCGGCATGTCGAAAGCGGCCTCCGCGCCACCGCCGGGCGACCCGGCGTCGGGGGCCGCTTCCGGCGCCGCCGTCTTCAGCACCAGCGAGACGCGCGACCCGCGCCCCAGCGTCGACTCGACCTCGAGGCTGTCGCCGCAAAGCGTCGCGATGTGTCGGGCCAGGGCAAGGCCGATGCCGAGGCCGCGCTCCCGCGGGCGGACCTCGTTCTCAAGTCGAAAAAATGGTTGAAAGATCCGGGGCTTATCTTCCGCCGGAATGCCAAGACCGGAATCCACCACATCGATCCGCGCCCGGGCGCCCTGGCGCCGTACGCCCAGGATCACCTTGCCCTCGCGGGTGAATTTGACGGCGTTTTCCAGGATCGCGCGGAGAACGCGGCGCACCAAAGCCGGATCGCCATAGACGCTCGCGCTGCTGTTCACCACCCGGAAGGCAATGCCCTGAGCCGCAAATCGCTCGGCGAAGTCATCCTTGAGACCCGCCAGCACCTCATCGAGCGCAAGCGCCCGCGGCGCCGGGGTGACAGCCCCGCCGCCCAGCTTCTCAAGCTCCACCAGGGCGTCGAGCCAGCTGTTGCTGAGGCTGAGCGCAAAGCGCAGGTCCTGGAGGATGGCATCGCGCTCGCGGGCGGACTCGGTCTGCGCCAGTTCGCCGATCAACAGGCTGATCGCGTTGAGCGGCTGCCGCAGCTGGTGCTCCGCACCCAGCAGCAAACTCCGCTGTTGCCCTGACTGTCGCCCCGACTGCGCCTGATCCAATGCGGCTCTCCCAATTTGCGAATCCGGTTCCCGGTCTGCGTCAGAGCAGCATGAATTCCCAAACACCTGTCATCAATGCTAGATCTAAACGGCAGGTCCGGGCCTACGGCCTTGCGGGCACCCTCTTTGCACCAGCCGACATCAAGTCATGAAAATAGTCCAGATCGATGTTTACCAGGTCGACCTGCCGCTTCACGAGGGCCGCTACAGCTGGGCCGGCGGAAAGTCGGTCGACGTGTTTGACTCGACCGTTGTCCGGATCGCCTGCGACTCAGGGCTCGTCGGGCACGGCGAGGCCTGTCCGCTGGGCCCGGCCTATCTGCCCAGCTTTGCTGCGGGCGTACGCGCCGCCCTCGGCGCCCTGGCGCCCGATCTCCTGGGCTGCGACCCGCGCGCCGTGGACGCCATCGGCGCGCAGATGGATGCCTGCTTGAAGGGCCAGCCGGCGGCCAAGTCGGCCGTCGACATGGCGTGCTGGGATCTGCTGGGCCAGGCTGCGGAGCTGCCCGTTCACCTGCTGCTCGGCGGGCGCTTCGGGGAGAGCGTCGCGCTCTACCGGGCGATTTCCCAGGATACGCCACCCGCGATGGCCGAACGTATCAGGCAGTACCGCAGCGAAGGCTACCGGCGCTTTCAGCTGAAGGTCGGCGGCGAGCCGGACGAGGACATCGCGCGGATCGAGGCGGCGGCGGAGGTTCTGGAACCGGGCGACGTCCTGATCGCCGATGCGAACACGGGCTGGCTGCCGCACCAGGCGCGCCGCGTCGTCCGCGCCGTGCGGGCGCTGGACGTCTACATCGAGCAGCCCTGCCTCGGCTACGAGGAGTGCCTGACGGTGCGGCGCGCCTGCGACCACCCCTTCGTGCTGGATGAATCCATCACCGATGTCGAGAGCCTGCTGAGGGCCCAGCGCGACGGCGCCATGGACGCCATCAACATCAAGCTCGGCAAGGTGGGCGGCCTCAGCAGGGCGCGCCAGCTGCGCGACCTCTGCGTGCGCCTCGGGCTGGCCATGACCATCGAGGACAGCTGGGGCGGCGACATCGTGACCGCCGCCATCGCCGCGCTGGCGCAGTCCACCCCGGCGCGCTTTCGCTTCACGGCAACCGACTTCAACAGCTATGTCACCCGGCGCATTGCCGAGGGCGCGCCGCAGCGCCGCGACGGCCGTTTCACCGCCAGCAACGCGCCGGGCCTCGGCATCACGCCCCTGCCGGAGGCGCTGGGCGCGCCGGTCATGACCTTCGCCGTCTGAGATCTCATCCTGGCTGTTCGTGCCCGGGCCGCTCTCCCTATCGCCCTGCCTATCGCCCTGCCTATCGATAGGCAGG